TATATATATATATATATATATATATATATATATATATATATATATATATATATCACCGGAGGCGTAATATAAGCTACATAAGGGAGAAAATATGAAATCGAAAAGTGAAAAATATTTATTTTTTATCGACAAGTCTATATTTTTGAAATATCTGTGTACACAATCTATAGTTTTGAAATATTTGTGTACACAGTCGACTCGTTCAGTTATTTATATTAATATTTTTTATTCTCTGCAATAAAAATTTCCCGTCAATTAATATAAATATAATGCAACTCTTCTAAAATTTTTGATGGTTAATATTCAGTAATTGAATTCACGATGAAAGCTGAGACCGCGAGCAATCAATAATGAACTAAATTAATTTATAGTAATAAATTTAATTAATTTATATCACATTCAAAATATTTTACCGTATATAATAATAATTGATGTACCTAGTAGTTAGGATAAAAGTAAAAATTAATATATTTATTATTTTTTAATACTTTAAATAAAAATTTTAAGAATCAAAGTAAGAAATTGGAAATAGTTGAAGCAACTCAAGTGTAAGAAGATTATTTTAATTATTAATATATAAGTTAATAAAAGTTCAAAGTTTGTTATAAATACTTAAATATAAAAATATCTAACATTCAAAGTACTTAGCACTCATCTCTTTTCGTATTTATATTTATTATATATTTATGAATTTATACTTATATTTGTTTCCTTTCACGAGCGTTGTACTACTTGTAAATTACTCAGTCTCTTTATTGCAATGCTAAAATAATAATTTTTCTCGCTTTAATGTTTATACATCCGTAAAATCACGGAAAAAATAAAATGCTGACAAAGTTTCTTTTGTAAGTTTCTTTCATGGCAATTAAATATTTAAGTTCATAATTACTTTGCATACTAATCCCAGAAGAAAATATAAAAGAAAATTCTTTTCTTGTTTTTATCGCCCTTGGAATCTTAAGAGAGTGAATCTTACGAGAAAAATTTTAATTTTAGATTTCAAATTTCTGCTTTGAAAAATTAATGTTTTTAAGCTGCGAGCTATAAAAATTAAAAAAAAAAAAAGACTTTTGGGACGCCAAAACATCGAAATTAAAAACAAAATTGTGTTAACGGTTGACTCTAAAAAACATCCCTGTAATTTCTCACTAATTCCATATCTATAAGCGCTGAAAATTCCACTTATGACGTTTTTAACAAATTTTCAATTTTTCTTAGCGGGAAATTGAAAATTTTTTATTTTCAATTATTAATTTGAAAAAGCAACTAAAAAATGGCTTCTTGTAGTTTCTTAGAAAACCAAGCGCCTAATGGAAAATATCGCGGAAACTACTAATATTAAATGTGCCTTGAACAGTTCAGTACACCCACAAGAAATCGAAAAAAAAATTTTTTTTTCTAAAAACGATTTTTTTTAATTGGCTAAAATAAAAAAAAAATTTAATGACTCATTCTCTCATCGATTTCCAATGAGAATTTATACTTTATGATTTTAATTTGAGTACATTAACAATTTTGTACACAAATTCTACAAATGACATTTTCATTTCAAGTTTCTTATCTATTACTCGGCTGCCCAATTTCAAAACACAGTAACTAACATTTAAAAATTTTTTTCAATTTTTCTTATTAAAAAAAAGTTTGCCCGCCAAATTGATGAAAAATTTGATTTGTGAATAGAAAATACTTGAATATAAATATTTTTAAGAAAAAATACTTGAAATTAAGGTCTAAAAAGTATAAAAAATGCAGCAATACTAAAAAAAAATCAGGTATAAAAATTTTGCAGATACTGTGTTTTAAAATTGGGCAGCCATACTGTATTGTAGGATTATAATTATCTTTAGAATAATTTTCTTAGAAGAAAAGATAGGATCTAGGAGCTGCAGTACACTTAGTCACAAATAATGAGAGTTGAGGAGAAATAATTAATTTAAATGCGCGTTGAGTGAAATTTAAAAATTGGGATTAATGATGAGTATTGACTTATGCTAATCCTACTTTGAATACTAAACAACAACATTCAAGTATAGAAATATCTTTCTCAAAAATACTTTCAAACAAAAAATTCAAATAAGTATCTATTAAGAAGACACTTTGGTGACCGTAATAAAAGAAATCAATGAATGAAAATTTTTTTTAGCAGATAATTTACCTGGAAACATTTAATTATTTCGAGATAAGTATGAACATACAATTAGAAACGAATATATATTGAGGAAAAATATTAATACTGAGAAGCATAAGGCCGACTGATTATTTATAAATAAGGATAACAGAAACATTTATAATGTGTATATGTAGATAGAGGGAAAGGGAAAAATGTATATTTCGAAATAAAGTATAATATATTGGCACTTAGAAAACCAAAACCTAATAGATGAATAGTCATTGTTACCCCCGATAACTAACAGTTCAGTTCGATCAGTTTAGTTGCCAATAATTCTTAAAGCCGCAAAAATATACCAAGTAATTTCTTGTTAAATTTTGATAAGTGAAATACAGTGAAAATGGAGCATAAAAGTGAATCTGGTAAGACTATTGTTCAAAATAAAAAAATGTTAAATTATTTGAATCCCAGTGAAAATTATTGTTCTTGCAAAAAGTTGTTGTTCGATTTTATAAATTTCTATATTTTAATCTATATTATTATTAGTGATTTTGTTTATTGAACAATTTTTTCTAAAAATTTAAGGATTGAGTGACTGAGAAAGTTTTTTTTTTAATTTTTAATTTCTTAAGATTGAAAATTTATTTTTTTTATTTTTTTTTTTTTATAAGAAAATATCAGTTGAATATAAAAAATATGGTATCGTGTTACTCAGAAAACGTGCACTGATAGAAGGATTCAGTACGAAGTACAAATATGTTTGATTAACATAAGTATTTTGTAAATATATAAATAAATTTAAACTAACAATAATATAAAAGTATCATATGAATTTAATACAATATTATTTAAGATTTTTTTAAATCAACTAATTTGAAGCTGCAAAGTATTAATAGTTTACAATCAATCGTTATAAAATATTTTAATTATTATGAAAATTAAGTTAGCTGACATATAAAAATTTTTAGAATTTTTTTTATTGAAAAAATGATTACAAAAAAATAAAAAAAAAAAATTTCATTAATTTAATTATTAAAAATAAAATCAAAAACACCAAAATAATATTTGTTTATTCAGGCTATTTAATTGTATTGTTACGAAACACGTGTTCTAAATATAAAAATACTAATACAACTTGAATATATTTATCAATTTTCATACCACCTAAAACTAACTTTATGATGTAGAATTTAGGTGTCGGTCAGAAGCATTGAAAATTTTAGTTGAAGAAATTGCAAGTCTCATACGTGAAGAAATCTGCCTAGTATATAAACATAACCAATAGAACTAAAAAATTTTTTTTTAATGGCTCATACTATTTGTATGCATGTCTATTATAATAATAAGTAGCTTAAATTTAAAACGGAAAAAAAAATTTTTTAAGTTTTATCTATCCAATTTCAGCGAAGGAGTAAAAAGAGAAAAATTATATGTCATAAAGTTTCGCTTCTTACCTGTGTACTTTGACACACACATATGTGTTTAAAAATATACATTTTTCCATGGAAGTTTGATGTTACTTTTAATTTATTAATTTAATTTACATTTTGTTTTAGAACGGAAAGAGTTCTTACAAAATATCCTTCGAGACTACGAGAAGGATCCTATGTTAGCTGTAAATAGTTTCAGTGACGAAAAAGGATGTGAAAAAGGTGATAACTACGCATCAAATATTACCAAGACGACTATTAAAGGAAGATCTGGTTGCGGTAAAGGTGTGTATTTTAAAAATTGATAAAAAAATCCACGCGAATTAGACAAATTTTCAAAACTTCCCAAAAATTATTACATTCAATTGACATAGCATAATAATTAATAAAAAAAATTAAAAAACAATAGGTTTCCGGGAAATTTAATGAAATAATTAGATTAGAAAATCGTAATTTTTACATGTGGGTAAATGGAAATTCCATCAGCCGTGTATTTGGTTAAGAATTTAATACAATTGAGGAGCTTATTTTCAAAAGGGTATCTTTTGATTTTTGATCAATCGAGACAAAAAACTAGTTATCTTTAATTATAAATATTTGTATTGAACTTTTTTTAATTTAGCTATAAAGTGCAATCGGTTATGAAGCTGCAATTCGATTTTCATTCATAAATGTTAGTATTTAAAAGTACAGAAAACTGGTATTTTAAAATATGAAAAGATACCCTTTTGAAAATCAGCTCCTCAATTAACAATTAAAAAAAAATGTTATCTTCATTGAATTTGATTGAAAAAATAATAATTTTTAGATCAAAACAATAAAAAAATTGCTTTCGAGACGTAATACGAAGATATTTTATATTTTTTAAGAAAAATTACAAGGAACTTCCGTTTTTTAAAGTCTTGTATTTGATTTGTCAACACCGCTTGCGCAGTACTCCAGTACATAAGTCACCGCAGTTTTTCAAATGCTAGAAGATCTTAGTCATTTTAGTTAGACATTAAATATAAATAAATTTTAAGATTAGGGAACTCTTGCGATGTTGTCAAGTGTATACCGGTAATTCAAGGTGCTATATTTTTTATTGGTCAATTAAATATTAATAATTATTTAATGAGTAAATTTTTCGGAAGCTTCCTCAAAAATTTTATTAATTAATTTAAAAAATAATTTTAATATTCATAACAAAAGAGAGCAGTTAAATAATTGATTGTACAGTGGAATCTCAGTAACTCGAACCTTGTTAAGTCGCAATTCTCAGTAACTCGAAAAAAAAATTGTATTTCCTTCCGCAGAACTCTTAAATACGTGATATCTCAAATTATTCAGACTCTGTAACTCGAACTTAGTATCGTTTCCCTTTCAGTATCGATAAAGGATATTCATACTCTATAACTTGAATTTTAAAAGTGAAACTGTCTAAGTCGAAGTTAGTAAAATATAAAAACGTTTATCTCTGAACTGTCCAAGCTTATAGCAATCAAATCTAAATTCCTATAGGAATTTTCAATGCTTCTTATATTCTTGTTTATAATGTATATTTTCTCTCTAAGTTATTTTCTTGCAAATCAAGTGTTTTCTTTATTTTTTTTGGTCTATTTGCCATTTTTTAACATCTTTTTAAGTCGAAAACTCGTTAACTCAAAGTTTTTGTCTTTTCCCTTGAAATTTGAGTTATCGAGAGTCTACTGTATTATGATAGAAACAAATTCACCGTAGAAAAATAGTGAAGTTGACTATTTAAATTTTAAATTTAGAAAATCAAAAAATGCACGCCTCACAATGCTCATTTATTTTTTTTTTAGATAAACTGTGTAGTTAAATTTTAAATTATAAATTTTACTTGTGCAGTTTAAGATAAACTATATATTTATTTTGCAGATTATGAGATAGCAGTCCTTGTGAAACATTGAAGTATAAACATACCACCGGAAGTGAGCGCCAAAATGTTTCGCAACGAGATTTACATGTATGAACGAATAATTCCTCTTTTCGCTGATCTAGAGTCCCCATATATCTATGGTTGCGAGGAGGAGATAATTTTGAGGGACTTGCGACCGGAAGGTTTCAAGATGCAGCCAAGGCAGGAGCTTTAAACAGTAAAGCGGACATCGGGGTGGCAAAAAAGTAAATATTACAGAACTTAGGTAATGTAGACAGTGTAAAAGCTACAATTTATAATTCAATATCGATAATGTGATTAGTAGCTGTCATTATAGTAATTAACGACTCTCTTATCGTAAAAAATTACAGTTTCAAACAGTAAAAATTCCCATTTCATTGTATAATCTATATTATAAGGAGAAGGGGAACTCAAATGAAAAAGAAGAGGGTCTCACTCTGGGAAAATTCAAGTCCAAGCAAGTCAATAATTACAGTTCAATTTTTAGCATTGCGTTTAAAATTTACCATTTTAATTTGTAAATATTGACGTTGTTTGTATTGGAAATTACGATTTTACTGTGTTGAAGTTTAATTTTTTCCGCGTAGACATAGGAATACCCACACAAATTTTTTATATATTTCACTAATATAAAAAATATCATAAATATAAAAAGTATTAAAAAAATCGTGTGCGTATTCAAATGAAAGGTCTCGATAAAGGTAACTTCATAATGAGCTTTTTTCTTAAAAAATATCATCAGTGAACAAAATACATCATTATTTCTTAATTATTAACAGTTTCTTAGATATAAACTCATCAAAATGTTACGCTCATCGAGACCTTTCGTTTGAGTCAAAACCTTTTGCTTATGTCAAAGCATGTACCATCAAAAATTTAATTGCCTGCCACATGAAATCCATGTTCCTACCACATGGAAATCATGTTGCTGTCACATGAAAATTATGTGTCAGCCACATGATTTTTTCATTATATTTCCCAGGAATTAGCATCCTTCCACGCGACGTCCCTGGCCAAAAAATTGGAAAACCTTTCGGATTTCAATAAACTATTGTCTCCACTCGAAGAAATCCAATTCCCAAAAGGTCAGCCAGCTGAACTTGGGGAAACAATAGTAGATAGCATGAAAGAAGCAATCAAGAATATGGAGTTGATAAAAAAAAGTGACGAGTTGGACGCAGCAATTAAATTTTTAAAGATGCATATATCTGATGTTGTGCCAATAATGAAAGATTTTGTATCACCGCCAAACAACATGTATCATGTACTAACACACGGCGACTGTTGGAACAATAATATATTGTTCCAGCATGACACCCTTGGACATGTAACGGCGACACAATTTATTGACTACCAAACGCCGAGACACGTTTCTCTGGCACTGGATGTGCATTATTTTTTGTACTCCAGTGCACAGACATCTGTGATAAATAATAATTACAAAGAGTTGATTGATTTATATCATAAATCATTTATCGAAAATCTAAAAAAGTTGAGTGTCAAAGAAGCTCATATAAAAGCACTGTCATTGAACTGGCTCGAACGTGAGCTTCAACGACACTCGCTTTATGGCGTTTTTACCGGCGTTTGGCTTGTTGGAGCCGTTTTTGCCAGGGATGAAAATCATGTTGATCCAGCTACTGAGAAACAGAAGAGAACGAAAAATATAGTCTTGCATTATATAAAAAATTATGTTCCGTAATGAATAAGGCTACGGTAAATTTTTAATAATTTAATTTAATTTTTACATATTGACATACAGTAAAAAATTTTGTGTCATTGCGCCAAAAAATTTTTGGTGTCAAAAGTTTTCATGTTAAATATTTAACACTTTTTTGTGCTGATTTTACAGAATAAATGTTAAATTAACACAAAAAAGTGTTAAATATTCAACACAAAAATTTTTAACACAAAATTTGTTGACCCAATGACGCAAAATTTTTACTGTGCAAGAAAATTTACTATTTACAATTTTTGGAGCGTTTTATATTTTGTATATTTTCAATTGTATGTTTTGATATGTATGTTGTAAATATATTGTAAATTGTCTCTCATTGTATATTGTATAGATAGTATGTATAAATTGTAAAATCTAAATTGACATGCAGTAATAACTTTTGCGTCATTTTTTCGAAAAATTTTATATTCAATATTTAACACTTTTTTGTGCTGATTTTACAGAATAAATGTTAAATTAACACAAAAAAGTGTTAAATATTCAACACAAAATTTGTTGAGCCAATGAAAAAAGAATAAGCAAAATTTTTACTGTGCAAGATATTTTATTATCTGAAATTTTTGGAGCGTTCAATCGATTTTTTTTTTGTTTTTTTTTTTTTAAATATATTGTTTTAGATTCATTGAAAATTTATTTGTAAATAGTTAAAGTATTAGAAAAAATTTTATCTATTTTAATTTTGATTTTTTGTTTTTAAATATTCGATTTATATTTTGTATATTTTCAATTGTATGTTGTAAATTGTATGTTGTAAATATATTGTAAATTGTCTCTCATTGTATATTGCAATATTGTACATTGTAAATTGTCTTTCATTATATGAAAAATTATTTTTTGTAATTATTAAGGCTACGGTAAATTGTAGCTCCGAAGGTTATAATTCATAAAAAAAAATGTTTATTCTAATAAAATAAAAAAAAATGGATGATTTTGTTTAATAATTATTTTTATTAGGTATCATAACAAAACTATATATACATTTTTTGTTCTTAAAAAACTGCGTCGAATGCTTTTTTAAAAAAGTTTGGAAAATCCAAAAGTGCACGACTCATAATGCTCATTTAATTATAAAATATTAAAAAAAAAAACATAAGTCGTTCAAAATTAGTTGCCGAAAAAACAGCTGTACTAGGAAGGTACTGCACAAGCGCCTCTGGTGGAATAAATGTACATAATATCTATAGATATATCACCATCCATAGTTTTACATGGATATATATAGATATACAGTCTTGTAGTTTTCGTTTTTGATTAATTGTAATTAAACGACACTGAATTAATTAATCATTCGCATTCAGTGACCTACAATCATCGATTAGAATTTTTAAAAAAAAAATTTAACTCAAATAATGGATTTTTTCACAAGTTACAGTGTTTTCGGGTTTCATACATGACGGACAGGAAAATTTTTTGGCCTATTTTGGTGTTTTTTTCCGATTCTATTACAGTAAATCAATTTTTAAAAAGTATGGAATTAATCTCCATTAAATTATCTCGACAATAGTATGCAAAATATCTTGATTCCGTGAACTAACAAGGCTATAATAATAAAAATAGCTGCCAAAATGAGGCGAAAAAAATTTTTCAATCGTAAAGCACTCTCTGATGCTTCGCATCATGAGTCGTGCAAAAGAAAATCAAACGACACATTCAAAAGTTATCGTTGATTAATAAATACATTTTGAGCTCGAAAACTCTGATTTGAGCTTAAAAAGCTCAAACTTAGCAGGAAGTTCTAGGGTTGGCCTGCACGGTCAACCGATTTCCAGATTTTTTTAATTATTAGGTGTACAAAAAAGTTCTACCCGTTTTTTGTCAAAAAAAATATATTTAAAAATTTTAAATAAAATACAAATTTTAATCAAAATAACCACCATCAGCATCTACTACCCTTTGCCAACGCTCAGGCAACTGATGGATCCCACGGCGATAAAAGGCTTGATCTTTTGACGAAATGAAATCATCTATTGTTTTTTGCATTTCGTTTTCATTTTGTAAGTGTTTGTCAGCCAAGTAATTTTGCAATGACCGAAATAGGTGAAAATCACACGGTGCAAGGTCTGGTGAATACGCCGGGTGCGGTAAAACTTTCCACTGTAAATCATTTATAGTGTGGTGGAAGATTGAACTTCTATGAGGCCTGGCGTTATCATGCTGCAGTATCACTGGTCGAGGTTTTTGTCCCGCAAATCGTCTTTTACTGTTGATTTCATCTGCTAATTTTTTTAATTGACAACTATAGCGTTCTCCAGTAACGGTTTCTCCTGATTTGAGTAACTCATAATATAGCACGCCCCACTCATCCCACCAAATACAAAGCAATATTTTTTTCCCAGAAACATTACGTTTTGGTGTTGATGTCGTTGGTTGTCCTGGGTCTATCCAATGTTTTCGACATTTAGGATTCTCATAGTAAACCCACTTTTCGTCCCCTGTTACAAGTTTCCACAAAAAACTTTTTTTTTCTGTCGTGAAAGTAACGACAGGCAGGTGTTAACTCGTCTCTCTCGTTGTTCTGCAGTTAATTCATGAGGTACCCATTTTCCTTGTTTTTGAATCTTACCTAAAGCATGTAATCTTTCAGAAATAGCTTGTTGAGTAACGTTTAACTTTTTCGCAAGTTCTTGTTGTGTTTGTGCAGAATCTTGATTCAGTAATTCTTCCAATTTCTCGTCACTGATTGTTGAAGGTCTTCCAGAGCGTGGTTTATCATTTAAATTAAAATCTCCGTTTGTGAATTTCCGAAACCATCTTCGACAAGTACTGTCATCAATAACACTGTCACCATAAGTTGCACAGATTATTCTTTGAGCTTCAGCAGCACTTTTTCCTTGATGAAATTCATATAAAAGACAATGGCGGATATGCTCATTACTTACTTCCATTTTCAACTTAATAAAAAAATATATATATCGAAGATTAATATATTAAAAGTTTGATGAATTTAAAGAGTACAAACAGCTGTGCATGTACATATACGTATTCATAGCTAACCTATAAATAGCTGTTAGATAATTCCATCTTTGAAAAACGGGTAGAACTTTTTTGTACACCTAATATGTAGAAATAATTTTTTATGATATTTAAATAAACTTTATTTAACTAGATAATGTGTTATAATAAATCTTAAAATGTATGAAATACCTTTTTTTCTATCATTAGTGTCGTTTTTTCTACAAACGTAGGGTAACGCGATAGATAAAATATTTAGAAAGATTTTTTTCTATTTACGCCAAAGAAGTATAACTTCTAGCATGCGTACATAAGTACACACACACTTTTTTAATAATTATATTTTCTTACTACAATCGTCTCTTTGGCAGCGGCAAGAAAGTCATTGTAAGGTTTCTAAAATTTAACTTTACATGAAGCTATATAGTCAACGGACTAAATATTTTGCATACATTTTATTTTTGCTGATCACATAACCGATGAATTGTTCTTATTATGGGATCACGGGAATGTAACAGATTAAAATGAATACATTTTCTGCGCTGTGTAGCCGAGGGCATCACGGCGCGCAGTTCAGAGCTCTCAAACTTCTGCCCGTGTAGTGTATACTATTTTTCTTTATAGTCGGTCGAAAGTACGTAAAATATTTATTGTATTGCATCGAAAAAAAATTGATGCCTGCCCCCGACATTTGCGGCACGAGCGAAGCAAGTGCTGCTGGTCGGGGGAGGGGGGGGGGCAGGCATCAAAGCAAAGAAACCAATGTAAATAAATAAAAGACATTTTATTTAAACACGATAAACTGTTTAATTGAACAAAACATAAACATTTTAAAAATTAACTAACATACATTTTTTTATGGTTGGGAAATATAAAGAATAATAATATTATCGATAAGTTGATAAATCAACAAGATTCACATTATTTTTTTATGTCAGTCGACATAATTTTGTTAGTTAAATAAATTAAATCCTTCACGATTTAAATTCTCAATGCTTTATGAAATATACAATCAGCCTAAACAAAATACGGTTAGTAACGAATAACGAACATCATTGGGGTACTGAAAGCCACTTCACACATGTTTCAATGCGGTAGAAAAGTTTTTGCTCCCGCTGTAACAAAAGACGTATGCGTAGCTCTACCAATGCACGAATGTTGAACTTTCTGCTTTAAAAAATAGTATATTACACATCGAGGGAAGTAAAGTAAGAAATGTCTCAGATCACATGTAACAGCTAGTTAAATATAAAGCGGCATGGTGGGCGAGCGGACTAAGTCATGAGGCGAGGGTTCTATCCCCGATGGTTGTTCGAATAGTTCCAACACCCAACCGTCAGAGATCGCTCTGGTAGCCGACTGTACTGGCATGGGTTTTCTCTGTGATTTCCCCATCGCGACTATTCCAACAAGAAACTATTCCAAAAAGGGTTGAAAAATTGTGGAGATAATATAGAACGAAAAGAAACCTTTTGAAAACCAGAAAACGGTATACAAGTAAAACTCAAAATAATAACCATAATTGAATATAAAAAGGGTTTATAACAATATTTTGATTACAAAAATTGATCTATTTCTAAATTCATTCATTTTGGAAATGAATGCGGAGTAAATTTCATTATTAATAAAAATTAACTCCTTCTCGGAGTAAATATCACTTTCGCTAGGAGTGAATCAATTATAAATCATTGATTCTTCATTCACTCCGCGTTCACTCCGCAAATTTTTTACACTGTACGTAACATTACAAAAATCTAATAAAATTATCGTTTTTATGCATCATTAATTTATTCAACTCGATATTATTGAAATAAGACCATAATTCTCTGATAAAAGTCGACGGAAGTCCTAAATCCCATAATATTCCTTCAACACATTTTTCGACTTCTTCCAAGTATTTTATTCTTCGCCGAACCTTGGACAATTTGTAAAAGAGCATTCCTCCGTAAAACGGATACACAGTCTTTAATTTTTTTTCACTGATAACTTGATCCAAACCCGCAAATTTTAAGCGGATTGCTAAATAATGAAAACTCATGTGTAAAGCATTAAAAAATGTGATATTACTCACACCGATTTTATTAACTTTCATTTCTTCGAGCTCTTTCAGAACGTTATCTTTCTGATAGAATTTTATAACTTGTTGATTTTCATCAAGGGACTCTTTAATAGCTTGTCGATTTCCTTCACAAACTGTTAACCCAGCTAATAATAACTTGATAATGTGAGATTTAACAACGAACCGATCGGTATTTTCTCCATCAGTCTGAATACAATTAATAGCAAGTTGACCCTCTGAATCTCGAGCGTTAACGTCAACGCCAGCATCGAGAATAATGTAACTATTTTCCCCTCTACAGCCGGTTGAATATTTATAATGGAGAATGGTCTGTCCTGCTTTATTGAGAATATTAATATCAGTCTCCGGCTCGTCTAAACTCAATAAATTTTTAAGATAGAATTGTTTATTATGAACGTCGTGCATTAGCGTAGATTCGCTGATAGAGCTCCGAACGCTGTAAATACCAGCCCCTCTCGCTAATAATAACTTGGCAGTGCTGATTCTTCCGTGGAGGATAGCATACACGAGCGGAGTTTCGCCTTTAACGCTCTTGGCGTCAATTTCTGCGTTATTGTCCAGCAAAAATTCTACTAATTCAGTGTTTGGACTAGCAGCAGCGTGGTGCAATAGGCTAGTGCCATAGTCTGGATCGGTTTTATTTACATCAAAGCCTTGTTGAATCAGGTACTTTATGATTTCAAAGTGTCCACAATGAGCAGCCATCAAGAACGGTGGCAAATCCCATAATGGTCTCGAATCAATATAAGCACCCAGGTGATAAAATTTTTTGAACACTTTGGTGTCTCCGTTTTTGGCTGCTATAAACACAGGCGTTTCATCCTTATCAGCTGAAGACTCATTTACATTGGCTCCTCGGTGAATCAAATAGTCTATCAATTTCTCGTCTCTGTTCCTCACGGCCATGCATAGAAAAGTTGTATAATGAAGAAATCCTCGATCCGTTTCAAAAATTGGCATGTCGACGATGCTCTTTGGTTGATTCAACAATTCTTTGACAACGGTTACATTTATTGCTTTTGAGCTGAGTTTTGGAACATCCATATAAATAAGCCATTTTGAAGGTGGAAGATGCATTTTGGTTTCTATAAAAATGTTTTTTTTTTTTTTTTTTAATATTTTCTATGACACAATTTAGCTAACATTTGAAAACTTTATGACTTTTTGAAGTTATACTTCTTTTGGCGCGATGGAGGAAAATGATGAGAGTGAATTTTGACGATGCACGCGCACACCGACACCTAAATTCTACATCGTAAAGTTAGGTCTAGGTAGTATGAAAATTGATAACTATGTTTAAGTTGTATATTCTAGTATTTTTATATTTAAATGACGTGTTTCGTAACAGTACAATTAAACAACGTGAATAAATAAATATTTTATTTGGTGTTTTTTGATTTTTTTTTAATAATCAAATTAGAAAAAAAAAATTATTTTTTAAAAATTGCACTTACAGTTTTGGAAGTTTTTTTACAAGTGAAAATTTTTTTTTTATTTTTTTGTAGTCATTTTTTCAATAAAAAAAATTCTAAAAATTTTTATGTCAGCTAACGTAATTTTCATAATAATTAAAATATTTTATAACGATCGTTTGTAAACAATTGATACTTTGCAGTTTCAAAATTAGTTAATTTAGAAAAATCTCAAATACACTGAAAAAAAAAATACTTTTGCTCAATTAACAATTTCTTGGCTCAAGAAATTCGCTGACGATCAAATAATCTATTATTATTAATTTCTGAAGAAAAGAACATCAATATTTATAAATATAGATATATCTTTGTATAATAGATGAATAAAAAAATAGCTTTTACGTTAAATTACGTAAAAATTATTTAAGTCAATTTAACAATTTCTTGAGCTAAGAATATATATTCTTGAAAATTTTCAAGAACATAAATTCTGGTATCAAAAAAATTTTCTTACTAAAATTTTTTTTTCTCTCAGTGTAATATTGAATTAAATTTATATGATAATTAATGATTTTATATTTATACGGTATAGCTGTTTTTACTATAATAAAACCTATTTGAATTTTTTCAACATTTCTCTTCGATCATTTTTGCATTTTTTTTCTTTAAAATATTTTTTATTATGTGCCAAAAAAGTATAACTTCTAACGCGTGTACATAAGTACATACATTCCTTTTTCTTTTTAACAAACCAGGTCAAGAAAATTATTTTAAAAAATTTGCATTTATATTTTTTTTGAGCTTAAAAAATGGATTTTTTAAAAATAATTTTCTTTTCTATAATTTATTTATTATAAAAATTCTAAAAATGATCAAATATCTCTAAATTTTAGTATTATTATTTTTAAATTGAAAATAATTGTTTATATTAAAAAATAACTGTACAAACTAAAGTAAAATATTATAAATACAAAATTATGTAAATGTGAAAAATAGTTTGAAATTTTTATATAGTTAGGCTGCTTCATTTCAAAACAGTTATTGAAATTTTTTAGATTTTTTTAAATTTACCTTAGAAGAAAAAAAATCGTCTGGTAAATTAATAAAAAATTCTATTTAGGCATAGAATATATATTAAAAAAAATATCGGTAAAAAAATATAATTAGTTACTTGAAGTACAAGAAAATGTAACAATACTAAGAAAAAAAAAAGGGGGTCTAACAATTTTTAGTTACTGTATTTTAAAATAAGAAAGCCGAACCATTTAAAAATTATTTGATTTTATTAATGTGAAAAAATTTTGAAAATTATCTTGTGTTACTAAAAATAGGTTACTTACTTAGGAATTCGCGTCCAGAGTTTTTAAATTTTCAGTGGTAATATTTTTGAATGTATTCAAGCGTCACAAAAAAAAATGTTGACTTTTAGGAAAATTTAATTAAAAAAAAAGTCAGAAATTAACAATTTTCAACTTAAATTCAACAAAAATATTCCCGAAATAATTTTGATACCGCGTAGCTAACTAGAATATGACTTTGGGGTTGATTAAAGCGAAACACGTGGTAAGAAAATTGAAAGTCATGAAAAAAGTAGATACTATATAGTGTATAGTCTCCATTGGATATAGAGTCATTTTTATTTTCAGTCAGGAAACGGTTATAAGACCGTCTAGAGACCGTCACATAATTTTGAAAAAATTCTGTAATGCTTGAAGGACCGTCGCATTTCAAACGACTACAAATTTCGTCATTGGCATCTATATAGACGTTTTTGACAGAATTTTTTAATAAAGCATTTTTGGAGAATTGATGCAAAATTGACGGTCACATTAAAAACCGACATGAATTTGGTCATCTACATAGGCGTTTTTGACGAAAGTTTTAAATTATAATTCATTCTCAAATCAAAACTATAAAGGAAATCGATCATTGTATTATCGAATTTACCGAGATATTTCAGTTTTAGCTTGTATATGTACAGGTAATCATTTTGAAGTCGAATAAAAATAATTTTTTCATGTACTATTTATAAATTGTCCTTTAACATAACTTTCAAACATTAAATGATGTAATAAATATTGAATGACATAAATCATATTATTATTATCACAAAATGTATAAATAAACATTTATAAAAAAATTATTTACTTTACTTATATTACTCCAAATTCATTCGCAACTAGTACCTATACGTTGCGCGCGCAAGTACGCGTGTGAATGTTGGTATGGAATGATCTATATTTTCATGCTTATGATATATTTGACCAATCACGTTACGAATAGTTTGCTCTAACATAATATATTTTCATATTTTTCATCTAAATTATAAGAGTGGACTAGAATTTAATTTAATTTTCGCGCCGCATATTTATTGTCATGATATATTTATGTGTCGTTTATGTATATTATATTCACTTTCAACCAATCAGAATGAGAATAAATATTTTCAACCAATCACATCACGAATAGATTGGTTTCACATACATTTCATCTCAATTTTATTATGGGACTAGAATTTAAATTTACGCGCGCAAGCGCGCGCCTTGACTATAGAGTTTGCATATATTTTCATGCTTATGATATATTTGACCAATCACGTTACGAATAGTTTGATGCCTCATACATTTCATCTCAATTTTATATTAGGATAACAAACTTTTATTTTGCTTTAAATTGTTAGAAATTTAACAGATGGCAGCATTTTCACTTGCTCGGTCAGTCATTTAAAATTGTATATAATATAAGTTTGTAAAGTTGGCTACATTGGTTTACACCAACGCCTTGTACCTAATTTTTCTAATAAAAAACAAAAAAAAAAAAAAAAAATAGTCATTTAAAAAACGGTCATGTGGTGGTCCGTGACCGCCCGATGACCAAAAAAAATGTCAATCGCGGGACCGTTCGTACAGTACATACGGACAGAAAACAAGCTTAATTTGTTCAAAATTAAATAAAAAACTTACTAGGATTATCTAATTTTTGGAGGCTATTAACATTCTCAATATTTATATAATTATCCATTAATTGATATTAATATTCATTAGTAATTAGACAAAAATTTCAAAAATTGTTGCCAAGACGTTAAAAATAAAATTATGAATAAATGTTATGTCAAATATTAACGATTGGGATAGCTGAAATATTAATTTATCCTGATATAAAATTGAGATGAAATGTATGTGGCATCAAACTATTCGTAATGTGATTGGTTGAATATATCATAAGCATGAAAATATATGCAAATTCTATATAATCAAGGCGCGCGCAAATTTAAATTCTAGTTATTATAAAATGATCAATCTCGCAATTAACACTTTAAAGTCTGACCTTGAAACCCTATAGGGTTTACTCTTGGGTCTTACTACGGATTTGAGCTCTCCCCACTACTCTCATGCGTAGACGTTTCGAGATCCTCTGACTTTAAAGGGTCAATTACTATAAAAATCGTTATTAATATTATTTACGATATATTTGTAAAGTAGTGAGTGATCGAAGAGTCGAAAGATCGAAAGCGAGACAAAGAGATTAAAAAGACTTATAGTTATAGGTCGAGTTGTTTAAGTGTCAGGTATTCTTGTGAGGGATGGAAATAAAAGTATATGTGTAACATCAACGTAATGGTCGGTCTACTTGGGTTCTTTTGGTTGAAAGAGTTTTTCCAGTAGGAGATCTATGTCCGGATTCGGAAGAGCGGAAATACAAGCTCTCTGGAACACACCCGACAGAAGGTAGAGGGTAGAAGGCGCGGGGTCTTCTTTGTACAAGAGCCCAAAGCTTCACTCGTCTTCACGTCTTCACTTCCTCATTTCTTTTTTTTATCATTTTTCCACCCCCGTTCCTCTTCTTCGTTTTCCTCCCTTCCGCTTTACTTGTCTCAGCTTCACTCTCTTTTACTTCGCGAGCTTTCTCATTATTCTACCGAGAGACGGGTACTACACTGTACTGAGGCCTGTACCGAGGAAACAAACGATGCTTTTTTTCTCTCATTATCTATGGTTCTTTATACATTACTTTTTTATTATTATCATCATCATAATCATCATCTTCAATTCGAGCCTTTTTTCTTAAATTAAATATTTAAAGCTTGATTATCTCTCATAATAATGCCATTATATTTAATACCCTCTTACGGACTTTTATTATTTTATTATCATTTCACGAGCAATAACAATTCTTCAATTTCTTTATTTTATTCGTTTTTATTACGCAAATCACTGTGGAAAGCGTTAGAAAAAGTATTTTACGAGAAAAATTTTTTTAATCTTTGCTCTTAAACTTTTTTCATGGTTACAACTGTGCTAGACCTTTAAATCAACATAGATATTGTAAATAATCAATATTATTATCAAAATAAGAAAAATTTTGTGGTCAGTGTATTTATATGATGAAATGGGTTCTTATGGTAAAATTTGGTATCGTTGGAATAGTTTTGATTTGGAGTTATGCCTTTTCAATGTTTTATATCATTCTCACCAAAAGTCAATTTATGATGATAAGTATTTAAGCTGCATTCGAAAATACTCTATCTCTAGATGCATAATTAAGAAATGACTTTTTATCTTGTGAACTATTGACATTTTTAAAAATATAAGCTCATCCCGATGTTATACTCGTTGAGACCTTTTATTTGAGTACCCTCATCAATTTTTCATATATTTATATATA